TAAGTGACACTGAAGGTGTGGTGAGATAGGTAAGATTCAAACCAACGAAGAGTACAGTAATGGGGACCAAGTAAATAGAGTTTTTTGAGGAGGAGGGAGTGGTCAACTGCGTCAAAGGCAGCCGAGAGGTCCAAGAGTAAGAATATGGAATAGTTTTATCCATCAATGCATAATGTAGAAATTGACTTAATTTGTTTTATCACTAACAATTAATGTTGGTTTTCTCTGTTTTTATAAGCCTTATATTAATTATTTTATTATTTTATCATTATTGAGCAATATGATTAGTGTTAAGTATGCAGTATAATGAATTTTAATGAATTTTTTAGTGGGGTTATGTTATATTTTATGACCACAAGATGAGGCTGTACAGGATCTAAGGATTTTTTCAAGCTTTTTTTCAATCTGTTTAAAGTTTTAATTTTATAATATTGATGTATAATAAACTTAGATAGGATTGTTTGATAAAAAGTCTTTGTTCCATGTGTAATCTGACATCCAGTGATGTTGCAGGCTCTACGGAGTGGAACAGGAACGGTAGTCATGGTTACTTAGATGCTTATAAGCATGTGAACATCACTGAACGGGCTTTCCCTGATGAAGACATGTGGTTGGTGGCGTAACACGTGGGGCGGAGCCTAATGACGTCATTGCTGGCTTTTTACGGAGAGGGAGTTTTAAATTACAAATCGATCTGTTAGTGCTTCTATCATGTGAGTGACAATCTGGAACTATTTTATGTGAAATTTAAACAGTATTACACTATGGGAGATGTCCTCTGTTCTTTCTATATGTGGAGTTAAGCTGAGAAGAGTCCTGTTTATACTGTCATAAAATGGGTGCCTGTCATCAGCTCTCTGCTGCTATCTACAGCATCTTTTTGGAATTTCCATGCTTGGTTGACCTGTATTAATTTATGGGTCCATGGTAGGAGGTGAGCGGCCATCCATATACTATATATTTTTAGGTGGAGGAACACTAAGCCAAGGTGAAGCACTTTGTTTTTTTAAATAGACTTCATTTATCTGGAGCATATCATATTGATTTTTCACCATTCAAGCACTTTACATATTTATATTTCATATTTTGATTGAACTATCACATTTTAATCTGTTTATGGACTATTATGTTTATATGAGTTAGTGCAACACTATTTATGTATGTTTTATGTTTTAATTGTGGGATCACCTTTTAAGTGTTATTGCAGCGGCTCTAATTTATTTGCTAATTCACAAGCTTGATAGCGCACATTGTTTATTTAATTTATTTAGTACGGAATAGTGACCATAGTGACCATTGGTTTTAGCGGTTAGTAACGCATTTGCGAGTTTCAGGAGAGCAGTTTCTGTGGAGTGTTGTGGGTGAAATCCAGACTGAAGGGGATCGAGAAGGTTATTCTCACTAAGGTGGCAGCTCAGCCGCTTGTAGACTAGACGTTCAAGGAGTTTGAAGGCAAACGGGAGTAAGTAGGTGGGTCCTAGATTGCTAAGATTGGCGGGGTCCAGTGTGGCCTTTTTAAGTATGGGGTTGACTAGCACATGTTTTAGAGAGTTGGGGAAGATGCCAGCAGAAAGAGAGAGATTGAAGATGTGAGTTAAAGAATGAAAGATAGAGCCAGAGGGCGACTGTAGTGCAAGGAAACAGGGTCCAGGGGGCAGGTGGTTAGGTGGGCTTTAGAAAAAAGTTTACCAACCCCCTCTATAGTAGCTTGGTTAAACAAGGGAAATATTGATTGTGCAGGTGGACAAGCAGTGTAGGGTGAGGGAGATATCTGTACAGTTGAGATCTCCACACAAATTGTATCAATCTTATTTTTTAAGTGATTAGTGATCTTCTGGGCAGTGAGCAAGTTAGTGAGTGGAGGTAAAGAAGGACAAAGTAGAGAGTTAAAGGTAGAAAAGAGTTGATGGAGATTGCATGAGAGGGTGTTATTAAGAGAGTGATAAAATAGGTCGCTTGGCAGTGTGGAGAAAAGAATTGTATTTAGATAGATTTATATTGGTCAAATATATACATTGTGATCCAGCTATGTGCATGGCAGCCGGGGACTCTTCCTCCTCATTGGCTGAGACAGCAGTGGGAGCTATTGGCTCCCACTACTGTCAATCATAGCCAGTGAGCCAATGAGGAAAGAGCGTCGCTGCTCCATGTGTGAATTGACACACAGGGGTTTATTTACTGAAGCTGGAGAGTCCAAAATCAGACTCACTTCTGCATAGAAACCAATCAGCTTCCAGGTTTCATTGCCAAAGCTTCATTGAACAAGCTGAGGTTAGAAGCTGATTGGTTTCTATGCAGAAGGGAGTCTGATTTTGGACTCTCCAGCTTTAGTAAATAAAGCCCACAGAGTCTAGGCCCAGGAGCAAGCCTGCTTGGGTGCCCCCGTAGCAAGCTGTTTGCTCTGGGGGCACTCAACAGGATGGAGGGGCCAGGAGCGCCGTCGGGTGACCCCAAAAGGGGAGGATTAGGGCTGCTCTGCGCAATACCACTGCACAGAGCAGGTAAGTATAAAATGTTTGATATTAAAAATAGCTGAGACTTTAGTATCACTTTAACTGTAAAGTAAGGATATATATATTTAAGTTCTAGCCCTATGATATGTGTGTAACATGGTTATAGTTCCTCTGCAGGGATAGGGGACCAATAGCTGATTCAGGCAGCTTTCCAGTCACAGGTCTTTCTGTTCTGGTTGTTGACTGGTATATGGCACTTATAGTGTGAAGCATAGTCACTGTGTTTAGAAAGGGGGGGGGGAAGTGAGTATGCGGGTATAAGGATGGACACTTAGCAGTCATGTAGGCATGCTGGCCTGGATTAAAAATACAGCACTAAGACCCAACTCTAAAACATAGGAGTAGCTGTGAAATTAGGTAATATTCTCCGTTTGAGGAAACAGTGAGCCATTGGGAGATGGTGATTGAATCTGGTGTTGTCTAGAAGTTTCCCAGATGTCATGCTATGGGCAAGAAAGTTTGGCTATCCTGGTGAAGGTGTAATGTGAAGAGCAGAGTCCAGTGTAAGTTGTTCTATAGCCCCTGGAAGAAACTAAGTAGGGAGAGTAAGTATCTTAAAACAAACAAGACTGATGAAGTTCCAGTTATTTTAATGTTATGTTATTTTATGTTGTGGGTGGGGAAGGTTGGGAATGGTGGAAAGTCAATTCTTTGATTGAAAGTCTGCTTTAAAAACTAGTCTATCAAATCCATTTCCATATTTTGCCACCTCTTCTGCTTGAAACTGTTCAAATTTCTTTTTAGTAAGCTATCTGAATATGCTCTTTTTTGTTATCTACTTGGCCAACATCATAATGCTGCAATGTAAACCAGTCTGTGTTAGAAAATTCTGTTTGCTGATTTTTAAATTCTGACTATAAAGTCTTCTAATCAGTGCAAACAATTTGACATTCATGTATTTCCTAAATTGTCAGGCATCACTACTTTCAGCAAAGCATGTCTTTAGTAATAGCTACTTTGAACATTAAAATTTACAAATGTGACACATCAAATGACATCCGTTTATTAGCATGATTTATTTAAAGGATAACTGTTTCTCTGTTGAGTTGTGATGAGATTGTGTAAAACTTTGAAGTGTCATTTTGCTGCTCTTAGCCTGAGCAGTTTTATGACAGGACCCTGTAGTGAAGATATTGCACAAAGATTGTGGAGTTCAAGCTGGAATGTTAGATTGGTTATATTAGGAGCCAGAATTTACTTAATGTCAGTGTGGAGACAAGAATTTTCTGTAGCCAAAATATAGATGTAGAGCTCAGGTGTATTTATGAGTCTTTTTATTTATTGACTTGGCAATTGGCGATTGTGCCTTATAATGGTAGGTGGGACAGCTTTATGATTCCTTTAATGAAGTCCATATGTCTATTTTTCATCAGGGCAGGTTGTGGACAGCTGAATAGCTTGAACAAAATGAGTACCTTTTCTTGATTAAATGTTCTTAGCTAGGAAGTCTAAATATTTTAAGCAGGTATTTTACACATGATGAAAATAAAGAATGTTAAAGAATGTTAAGCTTTTTTTGTTTTTTTTTTGCACACAGTTGTATAGCATGCAGCATGTGAAAATATATGTTGGAGAGAAAGAACAAGGCATACCTGCCCATAGATTTTGTTTTAAACTCTAGAATTGCTTATGAACCAGGTCACTTTTTAAAATTCATATGTTGGTGCCCTGAAGCCATTTAATCCTGGGTCTCAGAAGATGTACTAAATATGCACAGCTTGGGAATGCACCATTTTATTGGCAAGCTCACAGTCATTTAGAATGGATTTATTTACACTCCTTACTCACCTAAAGCTGCAGTCTCCTAAAAGAGACAGATATTACATAAGATCAAGTGACAGCAAGGCAGTTGCTGTCCTGCTCAAGGGAACGGTTAAAATCTTGCTTAAAGTGAATCTTTGCACAGATGCTTATTTAAGTGTTTACACATTGTGAAGCAATAAATGAAGAACTTTTTTTTTCACTCTTATTCACCTTTGGTAGCTGTAGACATTTTTTTTATAGAAATTCACATTTAAATTTCACAATATAAGCATTGAAATTGCAGCAGTTTTTACCTTATTTCTATAAAAAGCAGAAACCTGGCAGCCTGTCAGTATTCTAATGTAAATACACAGCAGGTGCTTTAACCACTTGCCTACCGGGCACGTATACCCCCTTCTTTACCAGGCCAATTTTCAGCTTTCAGCGCTGTCGCATTTTGATTGACAATTGCGCGGTCATGCAAGATTGTACCCATATTAAATTTTTATAATTTTTTTCTCACAAATAGAGCTTTCTTTTGGTGGTATTTACTCATCGCTGGGTGTTTTACTTTTTGCGCTATAAACAAAAATTGCAACAAATTTGAAAAAAAAAGTTTCTTTGTTTCTATTATAAAATTTTGCGAACAGGTAATTTTTCTCTTTCACTGATGTGCGTTGAGGCAGCACTGATGGGCACTGATGGGCACTGATAGGCAGCACTGATGGGCACTGATAGGCAGTACTGATAGGCAGCACTAATGAGGTGGCACGGATAGGCAGCACTGATAGGTGGCACTGATAGGCGGCACTGATGATGGGTGCTGATAGACAGCACTGATAGGTGGCACTGACTGGCATCACTGCTGGGCACTGACTGGCATCACTGCTGGGCACTGACTGGCATCACTGCTGGGCACTGACTGGCGGCACTGTTAGGCATCGAGTGGCGCAACTGCTGGGCACTAACTGGCACAACCGCTGGGCACTGACTGGCAGCACTGCTTGGATGCACTGATGGGCACTGGTGGGTGGCACTGGTGGGCACATGTGGGTGGCACTGGTGGGTACAGGTGGGTGGGCACAGGTAGGTGGCACTGCTGGGCACAGGTGGGTGGCACTTCTGGATGGCACTACTGGGCACAGGTGTGTGGCACTGCTGGGTGGCACAGGTGGTTGCACTGCTAGGCACAGGTGGGTGCACTGCTGGGCACAGGTGGCTGCACTGCTAGGCACAAGTGGGCAGAAATGGTGGGTGGCACTGCTGGGTACCGATCATCAGGGCACTGATCATCAGCAATTGCATTTCCCTGTGATCAGTGTGTCATTGGACACGGCTGATCACGTGGTAAAAGACCGATGTGATTGGCCTTTTACCACATCACGTGATCAGCTGTGCCCGTAGGACACAGGGGGCGCGTAGGAGAGCGCGTTCTGGGAGGACGTAATGACGCCCTCCCAGAACTGGCCGGCCGCAGTGTAGCCATCATTCGGCTATCTGCGGTCGGCAACTGGTTGAAGAAGATGTTTCACTTCATTTTTTAAAGCCATTTAAAAAAAATCAAAGGAGCCAAGTGCATGTAGCACTTGGTCCCGCTCCGATCCGTCGTATGCTTGCTGAGCAACATGCTTGGACAGTTTTCCCCTCTCTCATCACTCCCCCCTGTTTTTCAACCATGCTGGTAGAAAGAAAAGAAATAAATCGTGAGGGATGATTGAGAGTGCTCATCTCTGGCAGCAGGGGTCCTCCATCATTCAGCACAGCATGGGGCAGGGTAAGCTTAATTTATAAACAAAATTAAAAGATCAGTCAGCTATCTGGCAGCGTAATGGATGCTTCTGGCAGATCTGTCAGATCCACCACACAGCCTTGCACTGCTGATTGATGGTTTACTGCTGAATTAACAATCAGTGCTGGTAAGGCTGTGTGATAGAGCTGGTGGCTTCTAGTAAACATACATGGCACCTGCAGATCATAGACACAGGCCAACAGTGCTGTCTGATCTCTTACTAATGTGATTTAAGAGTTAGCACTGGCAGGACCTTGTCATAAATCTCCCAATTCCATGTATGTTTAGCAGCAGCCAGCAGTTCTATACCACAGTCCCGCAACACAATGTTTCTTTAAATGATAAGTCAGCTTTGGGAGGGAAAGGTGGCTTCAGTGCTGGCTGTAGCCCCCCCAAAAAACTATGCCAATAAATTGGTTTCAAGAAAGGGATGAAATTACGTCACATCACTTATAGAAACATAATGTAATTTTATTTTTAAACCGATTCATGAACCTAAATGAGATGCAGTGAAATTGAGGCTGGCATTCATTTTATTACAAGACAGAAAATTACAATGCTCAATGCACTGATGCATAAAAAGTTGAATGAAATGAAAGTAAGTTTAAATAAGTTAAAAAAACAAGGCATGCATATAAATTCATTACAGCACATGCACACAAATACAGTGTGTGTGTGCTATGCACACTATAATGCTCATCCATGGTGGCAAACAGCCCCTAATGTTATCCCAGTGGCAAGATAGCAGGAAAATGTTGTGGCAGATTTTAAATGGGTGCCATTTTATCAGAGATTTACATGGCTCCGCAGCTGTGAGCAAGCAGAGAGAAACAGCAGGATACATGCAAAAGAAGCAATCAAGATGACTGCTCCAGGAAAACAGAACGAGTTGATACAACTCATCTAAGGTAGAAAGGGTCCTTCTAATACACCCAGGCATTGATCTAAGAAGAGAAGAGGGATATGGAGTGTCTAAAAGGAGTGGAGGAGAGAAACAGAGGTGAGAGTTCTGGGAGGAGAGAGTTCTGGGAGCACTAAGGTAGCACAGTATTGCACGAAGTGGATTTTAAGCATCAGCACTTTCAAAATCAGTGGTGTTGGTCACATATATGATATATACTGGTTTATCCAAGCAATTGATTTGCACTTTGTTGTTATGGACTATTGGTATAAGCACTTTATTTTTGCACAGCATTACGTTATATATTAAGTTTTATTGTGTTTTATGCTGATATGTTTTAGATAGCAGTGCTACATCATTATTTTTTAAGATTTTAAATAACATCGCCGTGCTTCAGGTACTAACACTGCAAGCTGCGGTGATTTCTAAAAAAATGCACTTATAACAAAGTATTTGCACACAGAAATTGTGAATATTAGAGATGTATATTTTAGGTTTTAGGAAGAACATGAATTTGACCTAATTCAAGTCATTCACAGTTCTGTAAAATAATAAAGTAATGCATTGATTTGCTGCTATAGCAATCAATTGTGCACTTCCAGCCCTTTAAACTGTGTCAGGTGGATTAGAAACCCAATAATGTGCCAGTGTCCTCCCTATAAAGGTTAGTGTTTCCAGCAGCCCTTTGTCAGTGTGTGTGGACACTTGGAGTAGAGTGTTTGCAGAAAGAAATACCGTAGTTGCTGTTATACAGTGTTAACTTGTTCTAAATACAGCACTATAAAGTTCTGTATCGTTCTGCATTATTATAATTAATTTCAGTGTGATGTTCTTAGTCTGTTATCTCCCTTTTCATCCTGTGTTTACTGTTCTGTATTGTGATACATATTTGAATTGCAGTTGTGCTAGGAATCCATATTATTGTGCACCCACCTCCCTGTTCATAGTGCATAGGCAACAGTTCTACCTGTTTATGTATGTTAGCAAAACTTTAGTTGCTGTTCAGGTATTAGGTCCCCCTTGAATTTTTTTTATTATTGTTTAATTTTTATTTAAAAATCATTTTGCTAGGGTATTTATAACACATCTGCTGTCAGCAGCATCGTAGTGGCTTGCAGCCCCTGTCTTTAGCAAGGTAAATGTGGCTAGACATGTTGAACAATGTCACTGTTTCAAGCCTGTATAAAAATCATCTCACCCTGGATTCTGACCAAAAAAAGCCCAACTATGACACAAACTCAACAGTAAAGCAGGAGGTCACACTGATGATATAAGCTAACATTCAATTTTATTAAAGCTGGACAAAGTGCCCCCGCAACCCCTCTCTAACATTTCAGCCAATATGGGTTTGATCACAGAGATCACTGTTCAAAAGCCTGTACTGGGCAGCACAGTGGCTAAGTGGCTAGCACTTCTGCCTAGCAGCACTGGGGTTGTTGGTTTGAATCCCAACCATGGCTTTATCTGCCTGGAGTTTGCATGTTCCCCTTGTGCCTGCATGTGTTTCCTCTGGGTATTCCAGTTTCCTCCCACACTCCAAAGACCTGCTGGTAGGTTATTTGGCTCCTATGTAAATTTGCCCTTGTATCAATGTGAGTTAGGGACCTTAGATTCTAAGCTCCTTAAGGGCAGAGACTGATGTGAATGTACAATATACTGTATATGTAAAGTGCTGTGTAAACCAATGGCAGTATATACCTGTAATAAATAAATACTGGGTTGGGCAAGAGAGTAACAGTCCTATGTGTGACTGCAGTGTACTATGCCTGGCTTTAATATAGTTGGATGTAACTTCCTGCTTTTCTGCTAAGGTAAATGTACCAGTTATTTGGATACCACATACACGAGGAAACACATGATTCTTCACTCTAAAGCTTAGTGGGAGCAGCAGATCAAGGATATCGATCATCAGCAAAGGGCCTGTGCTCTTTCCTTTCAATTGCAACGTCTGTGACCTCAAGCAATGGAAGTCTGACAGGGAGTTTGAGAGGCCTAACTTACAGCACATATAAATGACAAAGAGTATCAGCATGGGATCACATAATGCTATTTTGGGGCATTTTGTGCACAAAATGCAGCATGTCTGCATTTTCACGTTTGTATGCAGCACAACTCACCAGAGTGCATGTCACTACAACACAGTTCTAAAAAAGTAAACAGCAAAAGTGTTCTTTTCAAAATATGCCTATTGAAATATTTAAATGCTATATATGCAGTCTCTAAAATATTTTTCTGCCTATTTTCAGTGAAATGAATAAACTCTAATGTTACTTTTTAACTTAAATGCTGGATGGCATCTTTTCTGTTCAAAATGTAGCCTGGTTAACATGCTTAAATACTGTGCATGAAGTCACTATAGTACTTTTCTGCCTTTTTTCAGTGAAATAAATGCACTAATGTTGATTTTATTTTAAATTAAAATCTGGCTGTTGTCTCTTCTGTTCAGAATGTGACATAGTGAAAGTACCTAGCTGTATTTTTCTGTTTTCCAGTGAAATACACACACTCTAATGTTGATTTGTGGCTTAAAAGCTAGCTAGTGTCTCTCCTGTACAAAATGCAGCTTAGTGAACAGGCTTAGATACTGTGCCTGCAATACTTTGCTATCTTCTGCAGTGAAATAAATACACTGTAACATTGATTTTGGATTCATTTCTGCCTTTCTTGTCCAAAATGCAACACAGGGAAAGTACTTAAATCCTTGGTGCCCAACACATGGCTCATAGGTTACATATAGCCTGCTGGCCCTCTGCATGCTGCCCTAAAGCTAGTGAGTATCAACTGGCACCGAGGTGCCAGAAGCCTAAACACTGTCTGTGTGCCAGCACCCAGCACTGAAAAAAAGACTGAACTGTGAAGCAGAGGTGGCTTGGGGTGAGAGAGAGAGAGCAGCATGGGAATGTATGATCAGATAAGTGATTACCAGTGTGGGGGTTAACTCTCACTGTCATGACCATCAATGCAAGGGGTTGACATTCACTGCCACAACCACAAATGTGTGTGTGGGGGGGTATGTTCCGCTGTTACTGACCTAGAATGCAGGTGCGGCGGAGGGATTAAATTTCACTGCCACTGACCACCAATGCAGGAGGCTGTTGGGGGGAATCAATTTCACTACTAGTTGGGGGGGTCAAAAATACTGACACCAGTGCTGGGTTTTATAACTGCAGCCACCAAATTTGAGGGTTATTATTGCATCCACTGATGCCAGTATTGAGGTGTGTTATTGCAACCACTAACACCAATGCTGGAGGTTAACAATGCACTCACCAGCATTGAGAGTTATTATTGTGTCCACTGACAGCTATGATGGGGGGTTATTATTGCGTCCACTGATACCAATGTTGAGAAATATTATTGATTCCAATGACACCAATGTTAAGGATATTATTGCTTTCACTCAAATCAATTATTTTTGCTGTCACGTACACCAATGATGAGCATTATTATTGTGTCCACTGACACCAAAGCTGGGAGGGTCTTATTACTGCCACTGACATGAATTTTGGAGTTATGGA